AATGGAATGCTACTCAGCAATAAAAAGGAGCAAACTATTGATACGCAACACAATGTGGCTGAATCTTAAATGCATTATACTAAGTGGAAAAAGCCAGACGCAAAAAGCTACATACTGTGTGATTCAATTTATATGACTTTCTGGAAAAGGCAAACCTATAGAGATGGAGAACAGTTTATTGGTTGCCAGGGTTTAGGGATGGAGGAGAGATCGACACCAAAAGGGCAACAGGAAAGGCTTATGTCTTTGAAGTGATAGAACTGTTCTATACTTTGAATGTGGTGGTGGTTACATGACTGTATGCATTTGTCCCACCAGCTGTCTGTCAGTTTGTCATATTGCAGTGGCTTGCATGTTGCTATGATAGTGGAAGCTATGCCATCAATATTTCAAATACCAGCAGGGTCACCCGTGGTGGACAGGTTTCAGGGGAACTTCCAGACTAAGACAGAAGGAAGAAAGGCTTGGCAATCTACTTCTGAAAATAAGCCAATGAAAACCTTACAGATCACAACAGAACATTGTCTGACTCACTTGCTTTGGACATGTCATCAGGAGGGATCAGTCTCTGGAGAAGGACATCATGTTTGGTGAAGTGGAGGGCCGGTAAGAGCGAAGGAGACCCTCGGTGAGATAGAGTGACACAGTAGTCACAAAAATGAACATGAACATGCCGGTGATTGTGAGGATGCCTGAGGACAGGCAATGTTTCATTCTGTTGTACAAAAGGTCACCATGAAGTGGAGTCACCTTGACAGCAGCTATCTGTCTGTCTGTCTATCTGGCGTTTGTCAAGATTCACAGAACTGTATACCAAAAAGCATGAATTTTACTATCTGTATAAAAAAAAAAAAAGAGTGAGATTTAAAGTGAGCTTATCACTGGATCCACAGTTACTAAGTACCACTAGGTGCTGGGCTTCATGGTAGAGCAGAACCTCAGAGGGCACATGGAGAGGCAGGTCTGCACATACAGCTGAATTAAACCGTGCCAACCCGTTCATCTGTCCATCCTTTGATCATGGTGTCGTCATTATGCTTATCACATTCACAGTCCCTCCCTGAAGCTAATGGCGTGGCTCCATGTAAACATCTGCAGCACCCAGAAGATTATGCTACACTGTGCTGCCTGTGTCTGTCTGTTCTCAGATGCTGGTCAGGAACCTCGGACTGGGAAACTCTTCATGAATTAATGTTAAGCAGAGGGTAGCCTAAACCTCACCTCTTCTAGGAGGCTTTGCGCTTGTTCCACAGGGAGGCTGTTCATTCTTCTCTACGTCCTTGGAGTGTTTTTGTTCTTCTCTCTGTATGTACTGGACACAGTATAACTTAATGGTAACTGCTCAAGCTTTAGTGCCAGAGGCCTTAGATTGAATCCTGGCGTGAGAGTAGTGATCCTGGGCAAGTAATTTAACCTCTTTTGGTCTCAGTTTCTTCATCTCTAAAGTGGGGACAATAATAGTACCTACTTTACGGGGTGGCTGAAGGGTTAAATGATAAGAAGCACGTACAACACTTGGCCCAGTGCCTGACATACTGTGAGCATGCTATAAATGGTAGTTACTGTTCTAGTCCTCTTGACTGTTGTTGTTAGCTGCTGTTGAGTCCAACTCATGGCCACCTTCCGTATAACAGAACAAAACGTTGCCTGGTCTTGCCTCATCCTCATAATCGCCAGCATGTTTGAGTCCATCATTGCAGCTACTGGGCCGGTACATCTCCCTGAGGGTCTCCAACACCCTCATTGGCCCACCACTTCACCAAATATGATGTCCTGCTCCAGCAATTGGTCCCTCCTGATGATGTGTGCAAAGCAAGTGAGTCAGACAATATTCTGTTGTGATCCATGGGTTTTTGGAAGCAGATTGCCAGGCCTTTCTTCCTAGCCTGTCTTAGTGTGGAAACTCTGCTGAAACCTGTCCACATGGCTGACTCTGCTGATATTTGAAATACCAGCGACATAGCTTCAAGCATCATAGCAACATGCAAGCCACCACAGTATGACAAACTGGGAATAGGTGGTAGATCTCAATTATAGGACTTAACCATGTTCTATATAATGATCTGCTTGCATGCTTGTCTCTTCCTCTCGACCAGGAACTTGATGAGGAAAGGAGCTGGATCCTATTGGTTTTTGTATCTTCAGTGGCTAGCCCTGTGTCTTTGTCAAGTGAATGGATGGATTAATTAGTGAGTAGCCACTGGGGTGGGGATGCTGAAAGCCCTTACCCTCATTGTATACATTGTCATCACCATCAGCAGAAAGCCCCTCCTGGGGCTCAAAGGCATAAGGTGCAGTTCCGGCCTTTTCTTTCTCCATGCCATCTTCAAGGCCAAGAGCTGAGGGGGCAGTGGTTGCCCTCTCTCAGACTCAACAAACAGCTTGAAATCCCCAGCAGCTCCTCTCCCCCTGCTGCAAGCGCCAGTTGCCTTTGCACCATTTACCCTGGACCCACCTCCCGAAACTTCCATGGGGACACAGCCACAGGATGCAGGGCAGCAGACGGGAATTACACAGGTGTGCCTTCATAGTTTGGGGGACTTGACTCCCTTACTTCATGAGCTCCTAGCCTCTTTGAGTGCACCATCAGCTATACAGAGAATTATATTCAGTTGGCGGGACCAAAATATAGTGAATTGCCTTTATAAGTGGATAAATAATTGGCCCAGAGAGTGCTGATGTCAGCCTAGTGGGCAGCTGGAAATGGTGAGCTTAGGGCTCTTGGTCCTGCTCAGTTTATATCAGTGTGGATGTGGATACTGAGGACATTATGCTTATTAGGATTTGTAGTTGGGAGACAGCTCATGTCTCAACACATTGGACCAGTGGACCAAACCCAGTGGGGAGGAATTAATAGGGATAAATGTGAGTTCCTGCTCCTAGACCCCATGTCTATCAATACTCATGCAGAATAAGGTTGACTGAGCTTAACTGAAGCACATGCAAAAGAATGCCAGGGCTTTTAGGCAATACCAGTTTACTATAAAGCTAGGAATGTGATATGGGCACAAAAAAGCTAATTCTATTTGGTTGTATCAACAGAGACATAGGTTAGAGAACAAAGGAGGTGAGTGACGGTCTTACTCTCTATGCCAGCCGATCTTCAATATGACGTTCAGTTCTGATAATCACACTTTCAGATGGACATTTGTAAACTGCAAAGTCAGTGAAGGGCAATCAGGATGACAAGCTGACTTAGAATCAGTCTGTGTAAATAATGGTTGTAGTGATTTGTCTTGAAGGAGAAAGACTCGGTGGGGTCACAAAAGCTGAGAACATTTAAAGGGTTTCCTGTGGAAGAGTGTTTTGACCCATTCTGTGTGCTTCTAAAGTAGCTTCATCTAGTAGAACTTTCTGTAATGATGGAAATGTTTTATGTCTGTGTTGTCTAATAGCTACTGGACATATGTGGCTTTTGAGCACTTGTATTGTGGCTAGGGATTGATTTTTTAATTTAATTTTAATTAAAATTTAAATAGCCACATGTGGCTAGTGGCTACCGTATTGGACAGTGCAGCTCTAGAGAGTAAATAACGGACTACTAGACCAGGGGTTGGCGCATTCTTTTTTCTGGGGGAAAAAAAAAAAAAAGTAGGGGGAAGGGTGCAGATAGTAAATATCTTGGGCTTTGCAGGCCATATGGTCTGTACTGCAACTACTCCATTTTGCTGTTGTGGTACGAAAGCGGCTATAGACAGTATGTAAATGAGAGAATGTGGCTGTGTTCCAATAAAACTTTATTTATGGATGCTGAGATTTGACATTCATACAATTTTTGTACCTTATGAATATTATTCTTTTGATTTTTTCAACCATTTAAAGACATAAAAACCAAATCCAGGCCATACTTGACCAGTGGTTGTAGTTAGCTGACTGTGGGCAGAGGCTGCAGGGAAGCATATATTCATTCAGAAAGGAAGGCGATGCATTAATTCGAGAGTTTTCTTCTGACTCTGGGGAGTGTTGAAATCAGGATGACATACGACTGCTTTACAATTACACTTACTTTGTGGAGGGACGTCAGTTGTCTTCCCTCACTTGCTGCTTACTCTCCAGCCCTATGTTGCTGGAACGCGTTGCTTAGGCGAGGTGGGAGGGGAGTGTGCTGGCTTCACGGCTTCCTTCACCAATTCTGCCACATGTTCAGGGACCCCTGGGATGTGCCTTAGTGGAGGAGCTGGTTATGTCCATTTACACACAGCCCAGGAGAGACGTGTTGATGGTACCCAAGGCCTCCACCCTCTACGAGAGGTTGCCAAATACCGCCTTGTCTACCATCCAGTCCTTCTGGGGACAGGGTGCCTCGGGTGAGGACTGGGCTTGGGGGCTTTCATCCCTCTGTCAGTTCTTTCTGTGGATGTGCCATCACTCATTCTGTGACTGGAGAAGGTCACCTTCAGCGTTCTCCCCCAGATGGGGAAACCGTTGCTCTCAGGGAGCTGTGAGTCTCTTTCGAGAATGAACGTTAGACCAAAGTCCAATGACTGTCTGGTAGCTGAGTGTCCAGTCTGTGATACTCACAGACTGAGTGATCAGGTTATTATTAGTATTGTTAAACTCTTTTTTTTTTTTTAACCTTTCTTTTGCCTCACTTCTGTCCATTTTACTTCCAATCAACATCTCTGCCAGAAAGAACAAAAATAAGAAATCTTCCCTTTCTGTAAGGAGAGAAGCCAAAATTGCTGGTTCGAAATTTTAAATTTTTTGTGGCTTTATCCAAACCCCAGCCCATTATAATGACAATAGAGTTTTCTCTGTATCTTTGTGAAGCTCAGGGGGCTTAAAAAACTTTCTATTTTGGACACTTTTAAGCTCACACAAAAGTAGACAGAATAGTATAGTCGTATAATCATCTCCATGTACCCCCCAGCCAGTCTCGTTTCATCCATGCCCTCTTCCTCCTGCCTCTGTTATTTTGAAGCAGACCTCCTGGAAGTTTTGGACAGAGTGTATTGCCTCATCTTTGCACTAACATCTCGATCCTGCATATTCCGTTTCAGATAATTGCTTTTGATGAGTTAAGGACGGATTTCAAGAGCCCCATAGACCAATGCAACCCTGTTCATGCGGTAAGTGTGGGTGCTGGGGTGGGAAAGGTGATGTCACCACCAGTCACCCAGGGCCTGGGAAGCAGGGCGAGAATTTTGACGAGAAGGAGGAGTAAAGGAAAATAACGTATCTCGACCCTGACTGTGACTCCATACCCAGCTTGAGGAGGTTTCTCATTCTTGGTCTTGAGATATCTTGCAAGTTAAGAATGAAAAGTCCCAACGACCCAGGTGGGAAGGGGCTGCTGGGCTGGCTGTTGAGTTCTCAAGGCCTTGTGTTGGTGTTTCTTAGTTACTCACCCTTGGCCAAGGAGAGTGGCCCCATGTTTGCTCAGATGTTTGCAGGGCTTGTGAGCTTATTAGCAACCCTCCCCATTCTGTACTTGGGCGCCAGGCTTTCTCAGACGGAGACTCGGAGGGAGGGTTGATGTATGAAGATCCTGGCCCAGTGTGTGTTCATCTGCTCAATGTCCATTGCCCAGCATGCATTCATCTTGGGTAGCTTTGTGGTCCTGTGGGCAGCTCGCCTCCCATGGAGGTCTTGGATGCAGTCTGGCTGTCCTGGCCCAGGCTCAGTATGTGTAAGACCGCCTGTCCAGCACTCACTGCCCCAAGAACCCTAGTGCTCCATCATGCTCGTCCCCAATCAAGTCTCTTAAAGAGAAAACGTGGAGTAAGTGGTAAGAACGTAGGTTTCTGCTGCACTGCTCTGCACTGCTCTGCACTGCTCTGCTGTCTCTCCCCTGCCCGGGCTGTGCCTGTAATTGGGAGCTCTGAAAGACTATAAAAGGAGAGGCCTGGATGCAGGGAGAAGAGGACAACAAAGTCTCTGTTGGGTGGGGGTGGGTGTTGGCTGTCTGTTTCTCTGGTCAGGACAGCCCATGTCCCAGAGCCAGACATCAGCCGTGCATGTGGACAGAGCCTTTTGCAAACGTATTCCAGGCTGGCCCTCCAGGTTCAGGGTGGAGCATGCGCAGTTCGTGTGAGCGTGTTTCTCAATCCAACCCCACTGGTCCTGTGTTTAGTTGAAGCTCCTTCTAGGCCGCAGTTTCCAATGCAAAGGCAAGTTTTTTTTCCTGTTTTAATAGCTTTGTTGGTATTTTTCAGTAGGACTTTGTAGAGAGAATGCCAGACTCTACTAGCATGCTGTCATCTTAACCTGGAAGGCTTATGGCATCCTTCTTTAGTAATAGGGACAAAGAGACCTAGTCACCTTTAGATACAGGCCCCCTGAGAAAGGGTATGATTTTGGGGAGGTGACCAAAGACCATTGTGTGGGACTGGGCCTTGGTATCCCTCTCTAGAAAGTAAGAGGTTAAGATCATTATTGGAGTTGTAATTTTTGAGATTTTACTATGTGCTAAGAATTTTATGGAGACCCTGGGTGGTGCAAACAGTTAAATGCTTGACTAGTAGCTAAAACGTTGGTGGTTTAAACCCACCCAGGGGCACCTTGGAAGACAGGCCTGGCAGTCTGCTTTCCAAAGATCACAGCCTTGAAAGCCCTATGGAGCAATTCTATTCTGCACACATGGGGTCACCATGAGTCAGAATGGACTTGATGGCAACGAGCAACAGAAACAAGGAACTTTATATACAAAATCTATGCTCCTTGCAACAACTCTACCAGATAGGCATCATTAACCCAATTTACAGACCACACAACTGAATCTCTTGTCTAGGGACTCATAGCTCATGAGTGGTGAAGACAGGATTTGAACCCAGGTCTGCCTGTCTCCGAAGTCTGCGTTCTTAACCACTTACTCTATGTTGTTTCTTTAAGAGACTTGATTTGATAATGCTTGAGGCTCCCTTTGGCATTATATTCTTTGATTCAATGAAATGGAGCCAAACTCCAATGAAATGGAGCCAACTGTTTGTTGCAAGTTGAAAGGATCTCTAAGATCCACTTGAAAATCTATGACAC